TCAGAAAGTATGTGTATAACTTGCACAACTGGCCTTCTCAAATAGCATAAATCACTTGGACAGGGCTACTACAGAAAACATTCATATTTTTATACTCTGATTATTCTGAATAAAAACTGATTAGGCTCTAATAGTGCTTCTGTAGTTTGTAGGACTCTTGCCCCCTAAGCTGTATGGAATCAAGTGGGCTTATTTTTAGACAGATGTTATGTGTGTGCAGGCAAGGGTGAACTTTTAATTGAAACAAGAGAAAGATATTGTTTTTGAGAAGTGAGTAAGAAATATATTGAAAAGGAGCAAGCCAACTACTAAAAATCAAAAGCAAACCCCCAGTCAACTCTGATATAGCTGTTAATGGCATTGTAAATGCAGATACATTGAAGCTGGTTTTGTATGAAGCCAGTTGCCAGTATTTTTTATAACCTGAAAATGCAAAATTTAACTTACAAGAGATAAGGCTTTTATGTTTATTTATTTTAGAGGGGCTTTTGTTAGAATTTTTTTAAAATGAAAAACTTAATTTACAAGTTTTGTGCATCTCAGTTGCTCTTCAGAAAATGGACTCTATGCTTTCATCAGAGGCTGCATGGATATCACAGTACAAAGATATCACTGATGTGGATGAAATGAAAGTTCCAGACTGTGCTGAAACTTTTATGACTCTCTTGTTAGTTATAACAGGTAATTATATCTATGGGCATTGCTGTTGTTTGTAATGAATAGTAAAAAAACCTTCACCTAACAGATTTCTTTACTAAATATTCATTGTCAGCAGTAGTCACCAAATAATGTTGCAAAGTTGTGATGTTTGCAGCTTATAAAAGCTTCCTGTTTGTTTTGTATTTTGGACACCAACACACACGAATAATCTTGAGCTAGTGACATGTTTGCAAAATAATAATTAAAAATACACATACATTTACTTGACAGAAGATAATTTGTTGCAATGCAGTAATAAATAGGACTGTTCCTTTTGAATGTGTGACAATTTAGAAGCTATTAAGTAACACCTGCTTTTTTAGAAGAGAACATAAGATCAAGTATGTTTTCAGGATATATATATTCAGTGGCTTTGTCTTCTTCTGTGTGAGGAGGCTTTAGGGGCCATGCTGGAGGGTGCAATATAGCCACACATTGCTCGTTTCTTGGCATGTTTAGCTTTTGCATGAGTAGTTTTCCTGAGATTGTTGACATGTCATTATTTTTAAATACTGTATAATGTTCTCACAGGCGTAAGGTGGTGCAGTAAGATGACTTAATATTTCTTTTTTCAGTGTTGGAAAACCTAAAAGCATTTTTTTATTAATGTCTTTCCAGACAGGTATAAGAATCTTCCAACAGCTTCCAGAAAACTTCAGTTCCTGGGCCTACAGAAGGAGTTAGTTGATGATTTCAGGATACGATTAACTCAAGTGATGAAGGAAGAGACCAGAGCTTCCTTAGGATTCCGATACTGTGCAATCCTTAATGCTGTTAACTATATAGCAACAGTGTTGGCAGACTGGGCTGACAATGTAGTAAGTAATTGTTCTGCTAGAAAAAAAAAATTAAAAATAGGCTTTGAATATTTATTTCATAACAAACACTTTTTTTCAGTACTGTTTTAAGTGTATTCAGAAGATTTAATTACAGAAAAAATAGAATGAGATGTAAATTCAGATTTAATAGAAGATGTATAAACAAGGACAGATTATTGTTTGAGATCTAAACTGTGTTAATTATAAACTTCCTAGGGAAATGCAAAGCAAGCCTGAGGAATGGAATAATCCAACCAACCAAAAAAAAAGTAGTCTCCTTTACATGCCTTTTTATTGTAAAAGACTCTTGAGTTTGGAGATCTCTGAACCAGTATTAACAGCCCCTGATGTTGGAGTGTAGGCAGTAGCCTCCAAATTCTTTTTGTCTTCACAGGAAGCTGTGGCTCTAGCAGGGGATAATCTTGACTTGACAGGACAGCAGCCTTCATGTGTATAACTGCATCTGCTACAGTGTCTTGATCTGCTTAAAAGCAAACCAAAATGTGGTAACCATTGTTGGTTACCACGATGTCACATTAAACTCGATAGACTCAGTCCATTTTCTTGCTGTTGTCAGCACAGCAAACTTATGATTTAATGAATGCTCATTTCTAAAAAATTACAATCAAAGTTTACTTTTGCAAATGTTAAAAAGTTCAAGGTAGTTTTTTTTTTTATAGCATTCTGCATCAATCTTAAAACATCTTTTTAGTTTTTCTCTAGATCTGTTCCCATTACCTGTCTGCTGTTGTATCTGGGAGCCATATCTGTTCCATTGCTAGAATTAAACCACTATGATTTGTTTTTCACTAAATCAGGAAAACAAGGAAAGATAAGAAAGTGTTTTGAAAATCTTAAATTTTTAGGTTTCTAAATGTGCCAGGAGAGTGTTTTCTAAAACTGTGCCTATCGAAGTACCAATGAAAAGTACAAATGGCAAGATTACTTTTTTATAGCGTTCATCCCCGGTTTTGTTTGCCTAGTTCTTCCTGCAGCTGCAGCAGGCCGAGCTGGAGGTTCGTGCAGAGAGTGACACTGTCAGTCAGCTCCAGCTGGGGCAGTTGGCGTCCATGGAGAGCTCTGTCTTTGACGAGATGATCAACCTCCTGGAGCGCCTGAAGCACGACATGCTGACCCGCCAAGTCGATCATGTCTTCAGGGAGGTCAAAGATGCTGCAAAGCTGTACAAAAAAGAGAGGTGTTTGTCTGTTTAATCTCTTCCCATGTTACAGTATTATTTCCTGTTAAAAATACTGAGGTAAATAAAGGCAGGAATAGATAATAGGTAGAATTTTTTTTCCTGAGTAGGAATGCTGCAGGGTAGTAAGTTTTGGAAAATTCTATTAATACTTACCTTAGAACTATTTTCATGATATGTTTTCTAAAGTAGTTCCACAATTAGTGGGTGCATTATCTTAAGAACCAAAGGAAGAATTCTGGATCACTCTAGTTTGGACGAGAATAATTTTATACATTGTGGTGTTAAAGATTTTATGCAAAATGGCCTGTAATGACTGTTCTGTCTTCACAGTCCCATAGAGCTTCTTGAATATTTCCTACAGAGTAGAATTTCTGAAGTACTTCATGAAAGGAATAGAATTTAATGATTTCCAGATTAGATGGGGTTTCCTGGAGTGACACGTTCAGAGATTTATAACTAAAGCATGAGTTTAATATTAAATGAAATTCAAACATAGCATTAGACTGATAACTTGTAGATTAGAAATGGAAAGGAAAACTGTCTCTGAACCATTGTAAATGGGTAAGATTTTTTTTTTAAAGGATAATTTTAACTTCAGTTGTTGTAGTATGAATAATTTCATTATAATGACCTCAGTGCAATGGTTTCTTTCAGGTGGCTGTCTTTACCATCTCAGGCAGAGCAAGCAGTGATGTCTTTGTCGAGCACAGCCTGCCCCATGTTGCAGACCCTGCGGGACCGTTTGCTGCAACTGGAACAGCAGCTCTGTCACTCCCTGTTCAAAATCTTCTGGCAAATGCTTGCAGAGAAAGTGGATCTATACATTTATCAGGAAGTAGGTATCAATGTGACCTGTGCAGTACCATGTAGTGTCAGTGACTGGCTTAAACAGCAGATGCACCTCTTTGTGTTTGTAGATAATTATGGCAAATCATTTCAATGAAGGAGGAGCAGCACAACTTCAGTTTGACATGAGTAGAAATTTGTTCCCTTTGTTTTCACACTACTGCAAGAGGCCAGAAAACTACTTCAAGCAGTAAGTAGGCAAGCTTCTGATCTATTGGTATTTCAGAAGTGAGTGTCCAGATGAACACGCGTGTTTTACGTAAGACCAGGATTTTTTCACAGTTAGTTTTGATCCACACTTAAAATGTGTGGATTGTTTATGCCTTTGTTTTCAACTAGGAAAGTTTTTACTCTGAAGCATGTACTCAGCAACAGAATGTGATGTGTTCTGGGGTATTTTGTGCAGTAAGGATGTCTAGGATACATTAACCTATGGAAGGAATATTAACTAGCACAGACTAGTGAAATGGGGGCCAAAGAAACTAATCAAAGATACAGTTACAACACAATAAACCTTACTGTTCGAAGAAAGACTAGTTTAAAATATGTTCCTGCTCAGAACTGCCTTGTGTAGCAGTCTAGTTGCTGTCATGGACGAGAATCTACTACCTTATTTGTGATTAGTCTTTTTTTACACAGCCCACAGTCTTCTGAAGAGTCCAGCATCAAACTCCTAGGCTAACTGGGGCAGAAATCTTAATATTTTTAAACCCACATGGAGCATGGAAGTTTTTGTTACACTTCAGTTCGTGCACACAGTGATTATTTTATGGGTGCTGCTTATATTAATCCATGTAACTTTTTCCTCTAGCATAAAAGAAGCCTGCATTATCCTGAATCTGAATGTTGGCTCTGCCTTGCTTCTGAAGGATGTCCTACAATCAGCCTCAGAAAATGAAACTTTAAATCCAAGCCAGCCCTCTGCAACAGCAGCACTAAATGAACTTGGAGTTTATAAACTGGCTCAAAAGGATGTTGAGATTCTTCTCAATTTGAGAGCTAATTGGCCAAATACAGGAAAATAAAGACTTGCTCAGCAATGGTTAATATCTTGGTGTAGATTACTTATTCCAAACAAAACCAAAACAAATATTTTTTAATATTCTTGTGTCATTTTTTTTCAATTCTGTATGCTGAACAACTGTTTTAATCTGATCTTATGCTTTATTCTATACATTTTCAAAAAAAAAATTCAAAGAAGGAGGGAATAAGTCACTTTGTTTTCTCCATCCATACTAATTCATTTTTTTTTTCTGTATGAGAGTCTCTCCTAATTTTTTAAAAAGTTTCTCCTTAAAAATTGCATAAATAGTGTGTGGCAAGTTTTAAAAACAGCACTTTACTTGGAGGTGCTGCCTACCTTTACCTGTGGACATTTATTGTAACTTGTTTAAGTTGCTTTTTCCTTAAAAAAACCCAAAACACAGCACAAGCCTCCAAAACAACTTAATTTTATTCAGTAGTAATGAGCCAGCTGGTAACAATCTTGTACTGTAAGCTGTAACCTGAAGGAGGAAACTCCAAACCACTATTTTAGTTACGTAAGAGATCTCTTTTTTTTTTTTAAACCATCTAACTGTATTAAGAAAAGCAATTCTCAAACAGTATCCCTCCACTGCCTGGTAGACATGAACAAGTTCTTGTCATTTGTCCTTTTCAGCTGATTGCTCATCTGAAGCAGGGGGAGACAAGAAAAAGAATGCTGCTTAAAATCAGCTATCCACAGCTGCCAAGCCAGAAGAAAAACTGAGGCAGATGCCTATTTTCATATATATCGCAGACCACTGCTCAAACTAATACACAGCCCAACTCTCCAGCATCCTTTTCTTCCTAAGGCAGAAAAAGAAAACCTCTAGTTAGATAAGTGTGGATAATTAGTTCATTACCTTTCAGTGACTGCAACAGTTACTAAAAATTGTCCCTACAACTCTGCCTTGACTATGAGAAATTATTAAAACTTGAGCTTATTTAAGCTCTACAGCTGTAGTACCACCCCTGGCACAGAAGACAACAGTGCCTCACTGTTTCACAGTTCTAGATGAGTATTGGAACGCCCTGAGCTGCCTGATGAGAGGGGTAGGTAAGGTGAGAGGTCTCCTGGAAGAAGATCCTGAAAGTGAGCTGCTAGAGGAAAATGGAGTTTGGTTCCTCTTATAGCAAGCCAAGCATGGTCAGGCACTAACTGACTTTGTAAAATCTCAGATATCTCCTATGTATATCCTCCCCTCCAAAAAAAACAACTTTCAGTTAAACTTACACTCCTTCCTTGAATACCTCCAGTGTGATATTTTCATCATCTCCAACTTCCAGATGCTCAGTGCTCAGTCCCAAAGTTTTAAGAGCTAAAGTTAAGGAAAGAGAATGTCCTATGTGAGTTTTTGAAAGATGGATTTAACATCTTCAAGTGGCCTAGATCGAATAGAAGGCAAACATGTAATTTCACAACGTGTCATTTTTTTTAACTTGTGTCTGGGCAGGTGTGCAGATAATTCTTAAGTACACAGATGTGTAACTTTGAAACTACTGTATTACTTCTGTGCAAACAAACGACCAGCCCCGCGCAGCTTGGTGTGAGCTGCGGTTCAGGGGGGACGCACCTTCCCTGTACTGCACTGGCGTGATGTGGCCCTGGCCCAGCACATCCAGCAGGCTGAACATGGCCTCCACGTTGGCCTCGTCCATCAGGTCCGGGTACTCCCCCTCGGCCCGCCTGCCAGCCTTCACCCTTTCCAGCGCCCGGATCAGGAACTCGCGTGGCCTTTCTGCAACCAAGTCAGACCGGGGGCCTCAGCCGGGTCCCTCAGGCCGCGCTGCCCCGCTCGCCCCGCTCCCTCCCCCGCGGGTCGCAGCCGCACCGGGGCGGTGGAAGAGCAGCAGCGCTCCGAGGTGCTGCAGCAGCTCGGGGAGCCGGTGCCGCCGCAGGTACTCTCGGCTCTGCTCCTCGCCCGCCGCCATCCCGCGGGGCCGGGACACGGCGTGAGGCGGCACCGGGCCCGGCGGGGGCTGTGCGGGCTCGGGGCGGGGGGACGGTCAGAGGAGCTCCCGCAGAACCGGGGCGCGGGGCCGGCGCTCCCTCAGGCAGCTCCAGCCGCGGGGCAGGAGGCGGCTCCGCCGAGGCCAGCGGGAAGCAAACACTGTTTTTCCTGGATGTCGTCACGTTACCACCGGAACAGACACTCCCCGCTGCCGGCGGAGTGAGGGCTTCGCGGTTGCGTTAGTTCGTGGGGAGAGCAAATTACGCGCGGTGGTTTTTTAATATGTACGCGGGTGTTCAGGGTCTGTTTAGTCTGGAGAAGACTGGGAGGGGATCTCGCCAATACATATAAATATCTCAAAGGTGGTGCCGAGAGGATCGTGCCAGGCTCTTTTCGGTGGTGCCCAGCGACAGGACGAGGAGCAATGGCCATAAACTGAAACACAAGAGTTCCACCCCAACATGAGGGAGAACTTCATTTCATCGAGGATGGCAGAGCACTGAACAGGCTGCCCGGGGGGGTCATCGATTGTCCCTCTCTGGAGACATTCCAAACCCACCTGGACGCGTTCCTGTGTCACCTGCTCCAGGTGACCCTGCTTTGGCAGGGGTTGGACGGGATGATCTCCAGAGGTCCCTTCCAATCCTGACAATTCAAGAGTAAGAGGGTTACATTTAAAAATCATTATAGAGGCTTGCAGCACAGCCTGTGCAGAGAAGAGACATCATGGAAGCTCTTGATTGTACTAACCAGTGTGAATAGGAAAAAGATAATCAAGTGTCCAAAATCAAGAAAATCTACAATGGTATAAGCATTTGCCATCAAATAAAACCAGATGATAAATGGGCGAATATCAAAAAATGGTATTCCTGTGAAAAGTCTAGCCCTATAAAAATTATTTGCCAGAACTAAAACATCTCAAGACATTATAGAATTCACTTTTTATTTTCTTAGATAAACTGGGAGAAAGGCAGGATCCAAAACTGCAGAGATTGTACAGCCAAGCCCTGTCTGTATTCACTAGTATTTTAAACTGATTATGCTACCTGCTCTGAATCTTAATTAGGGCTAGGGGAAGTGTAGGTTTCTAACAGTTACCTCCTATGACAACTACCTGGCACTGATGGAAACTTCCTAAGGAATACATTTCATAGTTACTGAATCCGTTCCTGCATTTGATTTTTCTGTGCCTTTCAAAAGAGTTTGCAAAGCACTACCAAATTTTTTTAATGAAAAAGAGCTATGAGAGAAAGTGTAGATTGAAGTGTGGAGAAGTACAAACAAGAAATTCAGGAGGGAATAAATAAAGACATGGAAAATATTTTCTTAAAATGAGAACCTAAGGATAGAAAGATTGACAGGAGAGGAAGGAGCAAGTGAAAGCCTGATTGGTAGGAAGGTAAGTCAGTGTTTGGGGTAGGGAAAACAGCATTTGGAAAAGGATGTTTCTCCTTTAAGTAGTCAACAAAGATAACCAGTATGAAACACGTATGTTGAAGGCTGAAATTTTAAGAATAAACACAGGAATTACAGATTTAAGTGTGTTTCTCTGAGGAATGGTTCAAAAATATCACTAAGCAGAGCAAACCCTGATTTGATTTACAGCTAGAAATATATATATTTTAAATTCTATTTCACTGTTAAGGAAGCACAATTTATTGCCTTGAAAAAAATGTTCTGATAATGAATCATGTATTTATTATTTAAGTAATAAATTATTATCCTCAGTTCATATCATGATAGTATCAGCTATATATATGAATCCTAAAAGTATGAGACTTTAGGATAATTTTTCAGAAGCTCACATGGACTATTCTAAGAGAAACTGAACTTTTGGTGACTGAGAAAAACAGGATTTGACAAACATTTGAACATATTCTGGTTCCATTATAGCGACGCTACTAAATGAATTTTATTAAAGAACTAAATGACCAAATTATCTTCATGTGTTTAAAATGTCCTGGTTATATAAATTGAATTTGTTTGAAAGACTTAATACTTGTTGTGACAGAAGTTGAGCCTTCTACAGAATATCATTAGTAATTTAAGCCTTTTATCTAATTTAATAGGACTAAATAGACTACCTGGAATCTTATGGGTTGTAATGAAGAGGAACAGGGACTGCAGGTCAGCTATGAAGCCAATTGCAGAACAAGCATTTGTCTTGCAGGGGAAAACAGGCAGATGGACATGTTCTTCCAAATGGGAGTGTCAGAAGACTAATGTCTAGGGCTGTGGGGAGAGACAGGAGCAATACAGATAGGAAAGGTCTGCCACATGCTTCCTGTGCACACAGCTGGTGAGAGCAGCTCCTTTAATGCTTTGCCTGCCTCTACTCCTCCTCAGCATGGACATCAGAAAGGTCTCTGTGCTAGGGGGCATAGGGTGAGCTGCAGGGATTAGGTCCTGCCATTTCTGGAGCTGCTTTGGAACAGCTCCACTGCGCCTTTCCTCTGTGTGTCCTCAAGGTGAGTTCCTTGCCAGGGGATTTTACACTGTACATTTATAAAGGAAAGTGCTTAACTGCAGAAATAGTGAGTTTCTGGGTATTAATTATCTCAACAGCCAGAACCATTTTTTGGTTGTTTTTGCTGCAGAATAATTTAGGTTGGAATGGTCCTTTGGAGATCATGTGGTCAACCCCCTTCCCTCCTCAAATTGTGCTAATTTCAAAGATAGCTCAGGTTGTTCACAGACTTGTAAAGTTTTTACTATCTCCAGGATGGAGATTCCACAACATCATTTGGTCCCTGTTCCAGTGCTCGACTATTAGACAAAGACTTTTTGCCTTGTCTCTTCAGAGACAATTATCACAATTCCCCTTGCTCTACCTTATCTCTGTTGCTTCTTGCCATTTTGTTCTGTACCATTAGAAGTGTCTGGCTCCATCCTTCATACAGTCACATGTCTTGTAGCTGAAGGCAGCACTCAGATCCCTCTCTCCTTCTTAATCTTCTTCTTGTAACACGGAGCAAAACACTTTTTTTAAGCGTATCATTTTACTTGATATGCTCCAGCTACTGATCCTCCCGTCAGCGCTCCACTTGGACTCACTTCAGTTCCCAAGCTGAGTGCTGCGCATCGCAGGCCCAAACCAGACACGGTTCTGCAGATTCAGTCTCACGAATGCCAAAACAGGGGTGACAATCCATTCCCTCCAACTGCTGCCTGCGTTTGTAAGACATGTAGATAGCAGTCAGACTGCTGAAGCTCAGGCTGTGTAGCGTTCAGTTCCCTTACTGACTCAGCTTGTCCACCAGCTTGTCCACCAGCCCCTTTTTCTGCAGAGTTGCTTTCTTGCCAGTAAGCACCCATGGGGTTATGCCTCTCTCCTGTGTGTGGAGCTCTGTGTTTATCTTAGATGAACCTACTGAGGTTCCTGTCAGCCCAATTTTCTAGCTTGTTGAGCTCCCTCTGAAGGACAGCCCTGGCCCTGCTGTATCAATCACCTCCTGAAACCTCAACCCATCCCAATGCCTAGGATGGTAATGAAGCCCTTTGGCATTATCTGGCCCATTATTAACCCCTGAGGAATGTTACTAGTACCAACCAACAACCAGACTTCCAAGAGCCCATCTCAGCCCTCTGAGCCCAGCTGCTGAGCTGATTTTCCAGCCACCTCATAGTTCCCACCTTGAGTCCAGCTCTCTCCAGTTTATTGTAAGAATACAAGAGCAGATAGTGTCAAAAGCCTTGCTAAGATCAAAGTAGACAACATTCTCTGTTCAGTACCTGAGGGCAGTCATTTCATCACAGAGAGGAAGCAGGGTGGTCAGGCAAAGTTAGAACTTGGTAAATCCAAGTTGTCCAGGCATGGCTTCTAGGAGAGTTGTTCCATAATCTGCCCGGGCTGAGCAGCCTGTAGTTCCCTGGGTCTTTCTTGAAAAGAGACATTGCATTTGCCTTTTTCCAGTCCTTAGAACTCCTGTACCCTGTTCATGATCTTTCAAGGGTGAGAGCAGCCTTGTAATGGTATCAGCCTCCATCCTCAGGCTCAGCTTTTCCCATGGGCTGCTATAGATCCAGGGTAAGCAGTCCTTAACTCAGGCTTCCTCTTAGGCACCCAGACTCTGCCCAAAGCTCTGAGCACAGACCTGTCCACTTAAAATCTGAAGCAAAGGCAGCAATAAGTGTACCTCAGTCATTTCCCTGTCCTCTGTCACCAGGTTACCTACCCCATGTAGTGGGGGCCCACATTTTACTTACCCTTCCTTCCATGTTAATGTACCGAAAGTGCCCCTCACATCCCTCACTTACTCCAATTCCAGCCGAGCTTTGGCTTTCCTAGTTCTGTTCCAGCATGCCTAAGCAGTGTATTCCTCTAGGGTAGCCCACCCCACTTCCACAGTCTGTGTACTTGCCTTTTGTATCTGCCTCCAGTCAGGAACTCCCCCTTCAGCCATGCTGCCTTCTCCCATATCTGCTCAACTTCAGGCAGATCAGAGTGGACTGTTCCCGTGCTCCAGCTGGCTCTCCTGGGCCCATCAGGGCAGTCTTCTGTGTGATTCTGCCAACAAAATGTCTGCAGGAGACAAAAGTCTGCTCTCCTAAATTCCAGGGTTGCAATTCAACTATTTATCTTCCTCACTTCCCTCAGAATCTTAAGCTTTGCTATCTTGTAGTCGCTGCTGCCAAGGCTGCCACCAGTGTCACTGTTCCCAGCAGCCCTTCCTTACGTGTGAGCAGCATGTCTAGCATAGCCCCACTTGGCTTGTTGAGCACTTCTGTCAGGAAATTGTCCTTGATGTACTACAGAAGGAGCTGGATCACTTGTGCCTCCACCATGTTGCCACCCCAGTCCCCTCCACAAGAACAAGAGCCTGCAGTCGTCAGGCTAAGCTGTGAATGTTGGCTTTTTTTTTTTTTTTTTCAATCAACTGCAAAATAAAGACTAAACCTGCCATTGGAAATCATTGTACTGGGAAAAAAATAAATATCAGGAATTAGAAAAATACTTCTTGTTTCTGAGTCAAGGAAAAGTAAAAATATGTCACAAAAAGGCTAGTTTAGTATCAGGACACTTTGCTGTCTTACAGAACTCTCCACTTCCCAGCTGGCTGAAACCCCAAGAAACTCATTTCCTAGAACTACAGTGGAACTCCTGCTGAAGGCAAAGGGGAAAAAGAAGTTACTTTATCAGGAGCCTACATTCTTTGAGTATAGTAGATTTGTCTGTTTAAGTGTGGCTCTGAGCCCATAGTTCTTAAGACCACAGATGCTTTTATTCTAGCAGTATGTGTAGAAGTTACACAAATATTTACAAAATGCCACAGGTATGAAGGTCTTTTG